GCTTGCCCACACTGTACAGACAGGCATATTCAAGGATAGGTCAAATATTTGCAACAAACAAAGCCTCTTTCCGACTTTTTGGAGCCGACTTTTCTTTCTGCAGAAACTTTCTGGCAGAAGCAGAAAGTTTAACACACCGTTGGCCTTACCAGTTACGTAACATGTATGCTTATTCCAAGATAAATCGTCAAACAAGTATACACCAAAGTATCTAAAATGTTCAACACGATCAAGTTGTCCTCCTGACAAGCTGTGGGATGAGCGAAAAAGTTTGCGTTTTCTGACAAAACTAAACAAGCAACATTTTTTTGCATTCAAACACATCATTCATTTATCACACCACCTTTCCTCAGTGTCAAGATCACGTTGTAAAGCACAAATATCGTCCATACTGTGCATTGATTTATAAATAACACAATAATCCGCAGTACTGCCTCACGTTCGATGTTAGCGTCTCTGAAAAAATCATTAAAATAGAACAGAAAGAGTGAAGGACCCGATACCGAACCCTGTAGGCCCGAAGTTATGCTGATGTATGAAGAAGACGAACCATTTGCTCGGACAGACTGTTTTCGAGAAGTAAAATAATCCCTCAACTAACAAATAACAGAAGCAGGCAGACCTAAAAAAGATAATTTATGTAATAAAAGAGCATGTGAAACGGTGTCGAACATGCGTTCTGAAAGTCTAGAAGTACTGAATCGACTTGCATAGCCTTTATCATACGAACTCAAAGCATCATGAGAAAATTTGCACAGTTGTGGGACACATGACAGACCAAACCTAAAACCATGGTGAAATGTACAGAAAAAATCATTCGTTTTCAAGTGCTTTATAATACCACTATATATACCGTGTTCAAGAGTTTTACAACATACGCTGGTCAAAGAAATTGGCTGGTAGTCGGCAACATTATTTTTGTTTCCAGACTTTAGCTATTAGCATAACATTTGCTAGCTTTCATTCAGACAGCAGTTTTTGATCTTCAAGCAATTTCGAAAATAAGATGGGTAAAAATGGTGCTACAGCACTTGCACACCTCTTCAATGCGTGATTAGAAATGGCATCCAGTCCGAGAGCCGAGTTTGGTTGAAGTCAGTTATTGCAGAGTGCATACACCACTAGCGTAAATGAAAATGTTATCCATAGGTTCAAATTTCTGGAGTGTCGTATATGACACTTCACCTTGAAAGGATTAAAAAAACTCAGATTGAAAATATTGGTTTAAGCAGGCTGCTTTCTCTGCATCTTTCGGAATGGTTGTTTCACTATCGGTTATGTCCGGAATGCCAACAGAATTCATCTGATTTGGTTTAACATATTTCGATACTCCCTTGGGATTAGTAATCAGATTTCTTTCCAGAGACGCAAAAAAGCTATCTTTCGCTTCTCCTAACTGTTTTTTTAACAGTCGACTTAACTCAGCAAGTTTTTCTTGAATATCAGCAGTTTTTGATTATGGGAAACGCTTGAAAAGTGCGATTTTTTGATTAATTAAGTTCTTTAAGCTGCGGTAACCCAGGGTTTGTCAGCTTTCCGTTTCCTGGAAATAACTTTGGAAGGTACATGACTACTGACAAAACTAGCAACCTTGGTTTTAAAAAGTTTCCTTAGACTGGCGATATTCATTATCAAAGAACACTCTGGAACTCAGTGAAGAACAAAATAAGCTTGGAGAATATAGCTTCATAGGTACCGTTTTCATGAAAATAAATGGCTCGCGGTGACATTATTTTTAACTTTAGGTTTAAGCAAACCAAACTTCCAACACCTACCTCATGTATAATAATCCCATTCATAGTTGTAACTGACCTTATAAAGGCGGAACGATTACAAACAGAAGATCTAGTACGTTAGCACATTGCCCAGTGCACCCTATGGGAGATGCAACGAACTGATGCAATGCGTCTTCCCTAATGAGCTCCACTAGTGCTAAGTATGGGCCGGACCGCGAACGCAATATTAAAGCATGACTTATCCAGTGTTATGACCGTCGTCAGTAGGCGCCATGCTGTCGCTGAGAAGCGTACAACAACTGGAGTACATCGCTGAAATTCGCAACGACTGGTGATCAGCTGCTGGGATTCGGAGCGACTACTGGTAAACAGCGCCGAGAGCCACGACAACTGGTTGCAGCAGTGGGAATCCGACTCAGCACTGGGATCTACCACAACTGGTTGGCAGCGGTCGGGTACGAAGCTGCAAGGGACAACAACAGTCGGCCCAAGAAAAGCAGCTGGCTCGAGACACGGATCACGTATGGGTAAGTGCTTGGCTTTTTCTTTGAGTGAACCAGGTTCTAAAGGAGAGTTAAAATTTAGAACCGGTAGTTAACTTTGCCGAAAGACTCAGTTTCGCCATTTCGGAAAGTTTTTTTGGAAGTAGCGAGCCCTCAGTACGATCATGGACTTACGGGAGCTGCAGAAGTGAGACTTATGCTGTTCTGTGAGGAAGTGGGGATCGATACAAAGGGTTTGGCACGAAAAGCCATAATCATAAAAGCGAATAATGATTTGGGGGCTGATGATGAGGAACTAAGTAAAGAATGGGACCTCATTATTGAAAGAAAAGTTAAGAGCAGCTCAGATGAAAGGAAAGGGAGAAGACAAAAAACTAGACCTCGTGTTGGGGTTTTTCAAACATGATAACGCGTTGAGTAAGAGGTTGTGACCCCAGCAAGGAACACTTCTTCTCGACAGCGATGCAGAGTTCGAGATGTCTAGGTACATGCAGCCATATGAGGCATCATGGGATATGGCCCTGTATCTTAGACTCTTTGAAGGAAAGTGTAGTGAACTGGATTGTGAGCGAGACACCTGGTCTTAGAAGCTACGCACGGTTCTGCCCTGCAAGGCAGCGGATGTTGCGCGACTCAGTGAGCCGCACGCGAACAACTACGAAGTGTTGAAAGCAGAGCTAATCAGGATATTTGGAAGTTCCGTTAGCCAAAAGAAAAAAAAAAGACTTGCACCGGAGTCTGAAAGCGAGGTGCGTCACAAATCACTGGAGGTTGAGGCGCATCAGGAAGCGTTAGAACCAGAGATCGCGCCAGAAAAGTGCCCGCATATTCTTGAATGCATCAAGGTAGAGCATGTAGAGAAGGAGGCCTTGGCCGGTCTGGAGGTAGGGACGATGTCGTGAGACGCTTCTTCCGTGGATGAGGAGAGTTCCAGCATGCCCTAATGGGCCCAGTAAGGAGCTGGAAACCTTCGTCATGCCTCAAGAGGACGTTTCGACATCGTCAAATGTAGGCATGGATAGCGCAGTGGCCGGTGAGAGCAATAATGTCATGCTTCAGAAGTGCAGCCCTATTATCGAGGTGATTTGCGAACATCGCAGAAAAAAAAAGAAGCGGACGCGTTCGTCACTGCGTAAGCCTAGGACAGGTCCCACCTTGTCACGAGAAAGGCGTAGGGGTAGGCCGTTAATCCGTTTCAAGGAAACGTCATTCGTGGCATTCATGGAGGCACAAGCGGTGAGCCAGGTGTGGAGGGGGAAAAGGAGGGACGTCACCCAAACGAAGCGCGCAGGTTCAGTTCGACGACCTCGGAACAGCGGCCTTACCGGAAGGGTCAAAGTCGAAAGACAGAGTGTCTAGATACCAGCGCAGGGGTGCATACAAAGAGAAAATGGCACAGGCTCCCCCCCCCCCCCCAGCTTCTGGCGTCGTTTTCAAATTCCTGCAGCGAATAGGCCGAAGTGTAAAATGAGGTCTGAGGGCAGTGCAATACTTAGAGTTTGTGCATTTTGTAGCCCCTGGCAGGATAGAAAACCGCCGGGACTGCGACCCCCTTGTGTGCGAATAAAAGAACCATGAGAAAAGGGGGTGGTCAGTTTGAGTATATTTTTGCACGCGCGTGCTAACTATGATTACTCAGCGCAGCATCGGAGATGCATATTTGTCTCTTTAAGTTTGTAGGTTACGAGATGTAAAGTTTTCAAAAGGAAAACCGCTGAACTAAAGGCTGAAAATCAAAGCTGGTTTAATCATGAGTTCGAAAATTCGCAGAAGGTAAAAACGAAGAAAATGTGTTATTCTTCTAGGTTTTTTTCAAAGGTTTAGTGTCATATCGTATGCCTTCACTGCCATGTTAATGTGGAGTGAATGAGCATTTCAAGGCAATTTTAGCGCTCAGTAAATCCGAGTTCCGGACTGATTCTCTCAGCGGGACAGAACTGATGAAAGTGGTCAGCGATGAAAAAGAAATCGAGGCTTTCGTGCCGTATCACTTCAAGACGACAGTGGTAACGAGGAAAGATGTGCTCTACTTGAGCCAGAAATTGGGTTCCCGAGAGATAACTTACTGCGCTTCAGGAAAAGAGTGCGCTTGCATTGTGTAGGTCATTCATTAGTTGCAGTGTTATCTCAGAGGTGCTAAGTTTAAAGTAGGAACAGACCATTTTTCCCTTACTTGAGTGTAAACTGTGACATCAAAGAACAGTTTCCTTGTGAGGTGGAGCTTGATTCGTCAAAAATATCATTTTGGCATTTGGTAAAAAAAGGGCAAATTGAATGGAAACGCTGACGTGCTCAGCCGCTCTTTCTAAGCCATTCTGGGGTGCTCTTGATGTATAGAAATTGATATTTTAGTTTTTTCGTGCATCTTATTAGGTGAATTGTGTAAGGTAGCACGACTGGTTTCTCAGCGCAAATGAGTCCTGGGAGTTCTGAGTGTGACCTTTTGTTAAAGCTAGCAATTAAAATTCGTTTGCTATCCCTCTTTTGGCTTGGTTTGTTTGAAGGGGGCCGAGTGCTTGCTTGTGCATGTGGTCGAGTTTCAGACACGGTGTGTTATAACCGGCCCCGCGGCTGGACCGCGCCCCGAAATGCACGAACAGAGTGGCCAGGGCAAAAAGCGAGCGTTCATTGTCTGGCTTGGGTTTTTATAAGAATGTAAGGTAAGGGAAGGGGAAGAGGGAGATAGGATAGAAGGCACGCGCAGCGTAGACTGGCAGCGCTTGTTTAGCGGTGGCGAACAGCTCGTGGCATTCCTTCTTCCTTAGAATCCATAACGCTCCACTGGCTTCTTGATACGTGTGGAACGTCTTAGCTCTGGGGGCGGGTGGCCCGGAAGACCGGGACCAGTAACCGCTGGAGCTTCGCAGTCTTGTACTGGAGGGTCCGGGCTTATCTGGGGGCTAGTGAGAGCCTCTGGACTCGGCGGTTCTTCGATGCTTCTCCGCCTGAGCTGGTCCATGTGCCGGTGAACAAGCCCGTTCTCCGTGTCGACAGACACGATGTGTGCACCAGAGGTTGACCGGACCTTCCCAGGTGTCCACTTGTCACCACGGCCGTAATTGCGAAGGTACACAGGATCTCCCGGTGCGAAGTTCCACTCGGCGCTGTCAGCAGAGTGGACAACCCCTGTTGCTCGGCTCCTGAGAGGAAAACACATGTCTAATCGGGTGCGGAGCTGGTAACCTAACAACATTTCTGATGGTGAGCTCCCGGACGGAAGCGGCGTGTTTCTATAGCGGCACAGTGTTCTAGCTAGCGCCCTTGACAAGTCTGCGTCCCCACACTTCCTTAGTCCGTCTTTGATGGTTCGCACCGCACGTTCGGCGAGTCCATTACTCTGTGGATGGTAGGGGGGTGCCCGCACGTGAACTACCCCGTTCTTTTGCAAGAACTTCTTGAACTTCCATCCAGTGAATGGCGTGCCATTATCAGACACTACTGTGTGTGGCAGACCGAATCTACTGAACAGCGTTCGCAGGGCATCGACTGTGTTGCGCGAGGTCGCGTGAGCCAGGGGAATGGCCTCAATCCATTTACTGTGAGAGTCCACGACGACAAGAAGCATCTTGTTCTGGATCGGACCCGCGAAGTCGACATGCAATCGCGACCATCTTTCCTGTGTCTCTGGCCAGCGAATAGGTGCTTGCGCGGGTGGCATGGGCAACGCCTGTGCGCAGTGCTGACACACAGCGGCTACGTGCTCAATATCGTGGTCCAAGCCCGGCCACCAAAAGTTTGACCGTGCAACTGCCTTCATTGCAGAAACTCCTTGATGAGCTCCATGTAATAACTTCAGTAGCTTCTTCCTGGCTTCCGCCGGAACCACAACACGATGACCCCAGTGAAGCAAGTTATGCTGCACGGACAGCTCGTTCCGCCTTTTGTGATATTCCCGCATCTCTGTGCCTTCCTCCGCAGTGCGTTGGGGCCAACCTTTGATGACGTATCTGCACACACTTGACAGTACGCCGTCTGACTGCGTGAGGGCTTGAAGCTCTTTCATGGGCACCGCCGGCTCATCCCACTGGTCCACGACGAGGACGTACTCGGCCGCATCGTCGTCGTCCTGCAGCTCCTGATCAAGAGATTGGGGTAACCGGCTTAATGCATCCGCGTTGATCATAAATTTTCCCGGCTTTTACTGCAGTTTATACTTGTATGCACCAAGTAGTAGCGCCCATCTTTGTATTCTGGCTGCCGCCATGACGGGGGTCTGACGGTCGTGCCTTAACAGGCCCAGCAACGGCTGGTGATCCGTAACCAGAGTGAACTCTCGCCCCAACAGGTAGTCCCTAAACCTAGTAACACCAAATATCAAGGGAAACGCCTTGCGCTCGATCTGAGAGTACTTTCCTTCGGCAGTTGTCAGCGTTCTCGATCGAAAGCCTATGGGTTGCTTCTCGCCTTCGGTGTGATGAAAAAGTGCAGCACCAACTCCATATGGGGACGCATCACACCCCAAGAAGAGCTCACGGTTCGGGTCAAAATGAGTGAGTATGGGTGCCGCGCACAACGCATTTTTCACCTGGACAAAGGCTTTCTTTTCTTTGGTGCTCCACGTCCACTTAGCGCCCTTTTTCAGCAGTTTGTACAACGGTGCTAGAATGGTAGACAAGTCGGGCATAAACTTGTTATAAAAGGTTGCCAAGCCCAAAAATGAGCGTAGCTCGCAGACGTTCTGTGGAGAGGGGGCTAGCCTGATAGCATCTACATTCTTTTCCATGGGATGCAGTCCGTTCGCGTCAATACGGTGACCTAGATATGTAACAGAGGGCTCGCTAACGCGGCACTTATCAGCACGAAGCTTAATGCCATGTTCACGGAAGTGCTCGAGCACAGCCATCAGATTGCGGTTTCGGCTGTCACCCTCTTCCGCTATCAACACGTCATCTAGGTACGCTTGCACCCCAGGCAAGCCCTGTAGGATTGATTCAATCCGCCTTTGAAATATCGCCGGTGCCGAACCAATCCCAAACGGGAGGCGGTTGAAGCAAAAGAGGCCCTTGTGGGTGTTCATCACGGCCAATTTGCGAGACTCTTCGTCTAGCGGGATCTGCTTGTAGGCGTCGCAGCAAATCTAAAATGCTGAACCGCTCCCCCCCACCTATTTGCGCAAAAATATCCTCGATAAGAGGCAGCGGGTATTGTTCCAGCTCGCATACTAAGTTCAAAGTAACCTTGAAGTCACCGCAAATGCGAACTGTGCCGTCTTTCTTTAAGACTGGAACAATGGGCGTAGCCCGTACCGAGTGCGTCACTGGTGATATAATCCCAGCTGCCACGAGTTGATCTAATGCCTCTGAAACTTTATCCAACAGAGCGTAGGGTACCTTTCTTGCCTTGAAGAACTTTGGCGTAACTCCAGGCTTGATGTGAAGGCGCACCGGTGGGCCTTTCGTGAGTCCTACGCCCTCCGTGCACAGGTCGGAGTAGCGGTCCAACACAGCAGGCGCGCGCGGAGACTCCGGGCTCAACCCGAGTGGTGACGCAGCTACGTGGAGTACTGCTGCGCCCTGCTCTTGTAGTTTCTGCAGCAAATCACGACCGCACAAGAGAGGACCTTCGCAGTCCAAGACGATTAGGTTGCAATCAACCTCCGCCGATTTGTGGCATACACGCATTGACAGTACTTCGAGTACGGGTAGCTTCCCCAAATAGCACGCCAGCTTTATCTTCGGCTCCTGCAACTTCGGCCATTGATGACGGTGGGCTTTGTAGGTTGCTCTAGGAATGACGCATACGGGCGAGCCGGTATCAACGCCCATCTTCAGCTTTACGCCGTTCTACGTGAACGTTTCCTGAATCGGTGGCACCTATGAATTCTTCGAAGTTACGGACCAAAGTTGCGACGCGCTGCTATCACTGTCGTTGGCTTGGGCTGTTACATTCAACGCGTTGTCGATCCTTTGGCACATGCGTGCCAAGTGCCCTTGTTTTTACACATTTGTAACAGTGCCTCCCACGCATTGAACAGGTCGCGCGCTTATGATTACGCTTTCCGCAGCACTCGCATGGCTTTCCGTCTTCGTTTTTGTTCTGTCCTCGCGGCACCCAGCGTTGCTCCTTCATTGCCGACACTGTTACCGGGGGCGTTTCTCGATATATGTTCTCCGCATCTAACTCTGCCCTTTCTGCCGCCAACGCAAGTGCCTCTGCTTCTTGTAATGTCAACGCAGGTTTCGCGAGCAGCTGCTTTTGCAAGTTTCTTGAACGTACCCCGCACACGATACGGTCCCTTAACATCCTATCCAGCATGGACGAGAAGTTGCAGTTATGCGCTAGGCGCCGTATTTCCACAATGAATGCGTGAACAGACTCCTTCTTCCTGCTGGTTTCGGTGGAAAAACTTGAAGCTTTCTGAAATTTCGTTTGGTCGTGGGTCATAATACTCGCTTAGAACTTTCACTACCGCATCGTAGCCGAGTGCGTTTGGCTTCTGCGCTGCCACTCTACCGCATAGCACATCAATCGTTCGCGACCCAAGTGCGGCTACCAACAGGCCTCTTTTCCTGGCATCGTCCGTGACTTCTTTTGCTTCAAAATATGCCTCAACCTTCACAAGGTACGCTTGCCACTTATCTGTGCCGTCGTTGAATTCCAGGAGGCGGTGACTCATGCCTGTCAATGGGGTGGCTGCTTGCCCGCCTTCAGGAAGCAGCTGGGTCTCGTTCTTTGTTGAAATACTCGTCGCCACTGTTATAACCGGCCCCGCGGCTGGGCCGCGCCCCGAAATGCACGAAAAGAGTGGCCACGGCAAAAAGCGAGCGTTTATTGTCCGGCTTGGGTTTTTTATAAGAACGAAAGGTAAGGGAAGGGGAAGAGGGAGATAAGATAGAAAGCGCGCGCAGCGTAGACTGGCAGCGCTTGTTTAGCGGTGGCGAACAGTTCGTGGCACGGTGTCGAAGATTTCGGCAATTACCCAGACCATGCGACAAGCGAAGGCGAGTTCCTGGCGTTTCACTACGTACCCTTTCATCATCCCTGCTAGCAGCAGCGGTGACTGCTGCCCTCCGTAACTCATCTGGCGAGGGAAAGCTGTTATGACCGTCGTCAGTAGGCGCTATGCTGTCGCTGAGTAGCGTAGTCAGGCAGCGCTCTCATGCCTGGAACCCCAGTTCTCTCGGAACCAGCGTCCAGAGCTCATGGGGGAGCGGCGCTCTTTTAATCCTCAAACAAGTACCCGACTGGCCACCTGCCTATGCCCGCTAGGTATTGTCCCAGCTAAGCGGAGGATGAGACGTCGTGCCGCCATGACGCCGTATGCCGTTCCAGAGAGGACAACAAAGACAGCCTCTTCCTTGGAGGAAACCGCGGCCACCACTACAAATTGCCCTGCTAATTGAGCGGACAGATCGGCGGACCGTTTGATGTATGCTGTCAGGAGCATGGGACCCCTCAACCAGTACACACACACGACGAGGAAGAGCCCCTCTGGCGCCACCTTGCAATGCAGTGATCACGACTCAATATTCGATGTTCACGTGGGTCGTGCATGCTCGTACCCCTCGCCTGTTGTGTGTGTGTGATTGGTGCTCCACTTAAGAAGGAGGAGCCCGACAGGGCTTATAACGACGCCGCAGAGTGCAGGATGTGGCTCTGAACCATGTAACGGTTCAGCCACCACGCTCGTGGTTTGGGAACTCCTAACCTCATGCTGTAAATAATTGTAAATAGTGCCATAAACCTGTTTGTTTTTCGTATCCCCATTTTGTCAGCGGTCGTTTCCTCAACCCGAAGCTACACCACGCTACCACAAGAGACCGGGCAGATCCCGGTCCGCAACAACGGGTGCTCAGCGCTGGGATCCGAAGCGACTACTGGTGAACAGCGCCGAAAGCCGCAACAACTGGAGGGATACGACTCAGCACCGGGATCCACAACAACTGATGGCAGTAGTGGGATACGACTCAGCACCGGGATCCGCAACACCAGTCAACATGTGCAAGGTGAAAATCGCCTCCTGGTATTACATATTCAGTTCCTAAGGTAGCCAGTGCTTGAGACAAAGCTTCCAAAGGCTGCGCACTGTTGGAGTTAGGCGGCCAATAAAAACAACCCGCCGCAACGTGTTGCGCTTGTGATAGCTCAATTTTACACCACACGGCTTCGTACTGAAGGCTGGTAATTAATACAGACATGCTTTCTAATCTGTTATTAACCAATATGAAAACTCCCCCGCCACACGCATCGCGATCTTTGCTATAGCCATTCATATGTGAAGGAAACACTTCTGCGCCGTAAATATTGTCGACGAGCCACGATTCGGTGCCAGAAATTATATCGGCATGCGTAGTAGATACAAGGTCTAAAAGCGCACCGTTAAATCTAATATTTTATGCTCTGACACTTGACAACAATAACAACCAGTTCTAGCTGATCGTGCCCTTGGCATCGAACAGAGGGCTTTGATTGTTATTGCAACGGTTTTACGTCATCACTGGAGGTACTGTAGATGAATGTTTAGGCCCCTATAACCAGCTTATTGAAGCGAAGCCTGAATTTTTCTTTGCCCTCTTTGGCAAGTGCGACTGCTTTTCTTCTTTCCAAACGAACTTTGCTGAGTAATCCTCGCTTATAGTGTATGGTTTCTTTCATCGTGTGTGCCTTCGTAAGCACATTTTGCTTTTCTTTTCTTTGAAGGAACGAAATTTTGCTACAAGGGTCATTTTCTTCGAGGTAGTAAAGCGGCCCACACTGTGAGTCCGTTCAGTGTCCGATGACGACACCTGGAGACACAGATGGTCTGAGCAAAGAGATAGCACCCGACGTTCAAAGTCTTCCCATGTCTCGCCTGATGCATCTTTCATTCTGTGAAAGACCAGGTTATTTCTGCGCGACCTATTTTAAGGTCATCTTGGCGCCTTCCAACCCGGTCCAGCTGAGCTGCAAGTGAAGAGTCCGCCGATTTCAGCTGTTGGAACTCAGCTCCTGTCTACATCTGTCTACACATGGCTTCCTTTAGCGGGAGGTGGTATAGTTTATATAATACCGGCGTGCCCACAATGCTGCACGAGAAATTGTCGACCATGCAGCCACAAGGCAAGAAGATGCTGAGGTTCCAGAATGCAAGAATCACCTCCTCTCACAACGCAAGATCACCTCCTCTCGTACAACGAGCTAAAT